TACTAGGAGTTACAATGGAATCCGGCATCATCCTCGGAAAAATACGGGTCCAGGAGCCTTTATGTATGATGAGGATCTTGGAGCAACTACTCAGACCATGGGCATTGCAAGCCAGCAGGCCTAGCCAGGACCAAGCCTCCATGTATTCTCAGACATCCAAGTAGCCCTCTTCCGCCCTAAACTCCCGCTCGTGGTCCAGGTCAGGGCAATATCCGCCGGCAAGGTTGTGTGGAAGAAAATTCAACAACCCAACTTAACCGCGTACCCGGAAATTAAGGGATCCCAGGTAATAGAGTAGTCGATGAGCGTGCAGAGGAGTCTTCAAAAATGATGGCCGAACGTTGCGACGTGACCTGGGCTTTGACTGGGAATCTTATACAGGACTTTCGACACTAATGGCTAAATCTCTAAGAAAATGACGAAAATGACGAAAGAAAACAAACTATGAGCCAGAAGGGTTGGTTTGAAAGGTTAGCACGACAATGAGATTGCCATCAAGGATACAAATGGGCGTGGCCAGTGCCTTTGATCAACTGGTAATTGGACGTGGCTACAAAAAGTCATACTTGTACAGGCGAAGGCAAATTTCCAGTGAGAGGTACAGATGTGGGGAGAGAGAAACGCCTGAACATCTTCTACCACGCTGCAGCAACTCATGCGTGGAAGAATGCAGCTCAAAAACAGGTTAGATGGAAACTAATCGAGCCTGAAGCTGTTGTTAAATACCGAAATCGGAAGAGAGAACACGTTAAATTTTATCAAGAGAACTAAGATATAAAAGTAGGTGAATAACGGTCACATGTAGAGAATGAACGGTATGGAATTTGGAAAATGAAAACCAGAGTAGGGAATGATTCACAGATCTATTTTGTTGAGTGAATAATTAGACATAGCATGTATGATTTGATACGACAAGCGTTGATCTGCTCTAAAATATATGGAATTTGGTGTCTATTTGAACCCATTTTTTTCTACCTCATCTTGGTGAAACTAAAATCCTCTAGTCTCTCACACGTTTCGTAAACGTCGATAAGAGCCCAGAGACTCTGGTGTTTGGGTATATCCAAGCCATAAACCCGTCTGAGACTTATGTTCCCCGAAGCTAAATCTGACGGCATCTAGCCCAGACTTGTATCAAATTAGTGCCAAGTGGGAACTCAATGGCCTCGAAGTTGAGTAACATGCGAAGCCGTGAAAATATCTATTAGAAAACATTGGAACTTTAATCAAAATAGCACCAACAAACCCCGAAGTTTTCAAAAAGGCTATAGTAGTCCTTTACTGTTAGAAACTCAGTTAGAACTTTGATATACCTCCATTCAAGCAGCACAATAAAAAGCAAAGCCAATCCACCGGAGTAATAAACTTTAGCGTGCACAACCATTGGCTGCCGCCGGCGCGCATACGATGCGGCCCGTACTAAATATAGGTTAAGTGCCACAAACAAAAACAAACGGACCTAGAACTGTCTCTCATCCGCCATATTTCCCGAAGATTCTTGAGTCTGGGCAAACTACATTGTTCAATTCCGTTTGCTGCTGCTGATCAACACATCTGAATGCTTTTGTTTTACGTGGCTGTGGAAGAGGCAAATCCACTGCCTACCTCAGCGCTTGTGAAAGATACTCGGCACGGACTCGTCACCTAGAGAGGTTGTTGTTAAATTTTATGGAGAGAGAGAAGCGACATCGTCATGGGTTATGACTGTTGGTACCCACCCTTTCGGCTCATTCAATCCGAACTCCGTTGATGAATCTAACACCTTGCTTTACCACTACTCTTCAGTATCTGACCTAGCCACCTATCTTGGCCATAGCTTTACGCCGTCTCGCTTTTCCTGTCGATCTCAACAATTATTGCGCAGTGGCGCACAAACTCTTGGGACCAGGTAATGTGGAACTTTCTCCCATCCACGCCTCAGATTCCGCTTTGGCGTTTGACTAAGCTGACCCACGGTCAAAACACAGTAGGGAAGAGGAATGAATCAATCATCAGAGCAAGAAATATTAAAGCTTAATGATCGAGATGTTATTTACTTCCCCACAAGGCTTCAGTAACTTTAACTGGGACATTCCATGAAATCCCACAATATGAAGTGTAAACGACTGTCAAAATCATCAGTAATGCTACAAGAAAATTTTCATGCGGCCAATATATAGCGCGATGTGAAGGAAAGATCCATGTATTGGCCTTTAATCCATCTACATTTCGTGCAGATGTACCAGCAACTAGACCTCGGGTCAATCGCTATTAACATAACCGCAACAATAACTCTACGATAGATTAACCAAAGTAGTCGACAAATACCGAAACATCAAGGTCTTAGCCTAGACATCTTGATTGCATATTTGGCCTTCACGGTTGGGGGAACGGCAAATTCGGATTAATAGAAAGTTGGTCAGTGTCTAAATCGGAGAAATTTGCAGATTGAGGAATGAGATACCGGTGTGAGATTAAGCTGAAACCGTGAAGAACAAAAATGAGAATAAAGGGTGTCAAGAGCTCGGCTGCCACGCGTCTGAGTCCGAGGGATTTGCGCTTTAGTGCGTTTACAATGGTTCTCTGAAAAGTCGGACCAGATTTGATTTAACACGTGAGTAAAGTCGAGGGTCTTGAGATTATTTTAGTGAACTGAGTGTGTATATTTCATGCTCAAATTCGGACAGCGCGGACTTGGAAATCCGAATCACCTGAGAAGTTGGAGTAGTGGGAATGCTAGTTGCCAAGCACTCATGGTTAGGAAAAATGACATCTGTCACTCTCTCTCATCGTCTGGACCGAATGAAACTGCTCTCTCCACTCTAGATGAGATTAACGCTGCCTCTTCTACAGGCTTAAACCACAGTCAAAAAGCATACATATCCGAGGCTGTGCATCGATTTTAGCTCAACTTTAGACTTTACATGATAGCAACATGTCGATCACGAATAGTCGTTTGGAAACCCACGAGTTGGAGTGGATTCAAAGAGCCCGAGCTCGATCCAGTCCTTCAAGTGAAGCTCAGCGGCATAAAGTAAATCCATACCCCTGTAAATTTTGAAAGTTTGCAATAAATTTCCATCATGTTATTTCCATAGGTTGTGCAAGTCAAGAGTAAGGACACGCCCAAAAATGCTCGATTTAATAGAGAAAATGTAGTATATCCTCGGTTGCATTTCTCGTTACGATTACCGTGCAGATTGGAAGCTGCTTTAATCTTGTGGCAGAGGAACTGAGTCATTCACTGTCTTGTTACGTGTACTGAGGAAAGATCTTCACGGGCTCCGACCAAAAGCGATATAGCCTGTCCCTATGACCCATATACGCGACAAGTAATGATGAGTCACTTCCCATGTTTGCTTTGCTTAGTTGGCTCCGAGGTACATCAGCACCGTGGAATTCTTGGAGAGCACCGCTAGCAGGTGTTTAATTTTTGCACCGCGGCTTGTTTGGGAGTGTAGCCACTCTCTGAGATCCGGGGTTCAGGGAAAGATTTTGCTTTTCTAATTGCCTCGCAATTGTCCGGAGGCGGGCGGCGAGAACCCAGTAGATGAGGAGCAACTTACCAGCTCGAGCTTGTGAGAGCGGAGACGCCAATTTCTCCAGGAAAACTGCGCATGAGGTCACACGTCGGTGATTCCTTTGATGAGCTATTTGGAGGAGTTCTTGCTTCTCGATGCCCTCAAATGATCATCACGTAGGACTCCCTGCAACTGTGGGGAAAGATAAAGGGCCAAGTCGCGTCCCCAGCTTGGCGTTTTGCTCGGCACGCGAGGCTCATTGGTCGTAGTCCGTCATTAGCCATTGCCCCGAGCACAGAGTTCTTCTGGTCTTCCATCACTTCGTCCTTATTCGAAGTGACGTGAAACAGACCAGAATCAAGGCGTGGACGAGCATTTGCCTCTAATTCCGAACGAGCCTAATTCAGGGCAGCTCTAGAATTATGACGATATCCTGGACTTTTATCTGACTTTGCAATGGTCAGGAATTTGACTCATTTCAAGCCGCAGGGCAAAGAAGGACCACGTGACCACCCGAGACACCAGAGCTGGTTATTCTGCTCGACGTCGATCGAGTAGAAACATTGTCACCTTCAGCACAGTGTTCAGAATGCCGAGAAATTCCAGACAAAAAACGTTAGATGCGCAGGACCAGCGGTCTGATCACGGCCGCTACGTCACATGAACCTACGGGTGGCACAAGGCTAGGTCCATGGGTAGAGGTAGTAGATTCTCAGCACACACCTTCCTCAGGACTCATGAAACATCTGGCCTACGGGCATAATACCAGGACCTTTATCACGCATCGTGTGACGGTTGGTACGGCTTATTTCCTTCAGCGGCCCATCCAGCATGACGAGGGAGATTGCCTTCCTGGCTCTATAACCTGCCGCCGAGTCGCGCACGTGATTCTAGCCATCTGAAAACGTGCCGCTCCTTGCTCCACTCAGGTGGATTGGATCAAGCTGCTCCAGGTCATCGAAATTTCGCGGCTTTTCAACATCAGCTTCATCGTCATGACATTCATCCCCCGCCGCACCCAGGCCTCGTCGGCCTGTAAAGGGATTGGACCCTTAGTACGGGGGTCTAGTCGGCCCACGAATGCACGGCCAAAGTCACCACCCCTTCAGCGCTTGCAGGGAACTTAGTTGGCTGGGGGCTCGGATAAGGGGGAAGAACACAACGATAGGATTCAGAAAATCATGTTAGACCCTCCGGTTAACAATCTTCAACGCCTCTGCAAACCTCTGCTTGTTGTATATACGTACATCGGCGCCCTGGCGTACAGGAATAAAACGACTTATCGACTCATGTTGGTTACGAAGATGGTCATTGTCCATGTGCACATCACAGCATCGAGCACAATGTAATATAGTCAGCAAACTACACTTCGCTCAATCCCTTCTCTGCCTACCGACCTGTGCATCTATTTTACGCTCAAGAGAGCCCCATCGCCTCATCGATTAAATATTCCTCTCCTTCACTCTCCGCTTGTCGATTCCGACCATACTAGCCCCAACAATGCTTCCGTCACCCTTTCACCTAGCGCTTATCATATCCTTACTTGTCCCAGCCTTCCTCGCAACACCCACTAAAGGCTGTGGTCGAGATATGCCCTCCGACCAAATACTAGGTGATCCTAGTTTTGATATGCCATTTCAGCGTTTGTCTTCCTTCCAAATTCGGTCTGATCACGTGTCGATGTGCAGCGTTCGCCAACTAACCAACGCCAAATTTCTCAGAAACCAATGGTCGCGATAGAACATATTTGATACATATCCCTACCAATTACGACCAAAATACACCGTCTCCTCTAATTTTTAGCTTTCATGGTCGAACGCAGAATTCTTCGTATCAAGAGTCACTCTCAGGCTTCTCTCGCGATGACTGGAACCCAGATGCCATTGTCGTGTATCCCCAGGGTATTGAGGTGAGAATTTTCATACCAACGCCTTCTCAGAACACCTGCCGTACTACTCCCCTCATACGGCAGATGAGATCCTTGTACGAAGACTTAAGCTTACGTCAGTTCAGGATCAATGGCAGGGCGACCCCGAATCGGTAGACGTTGACGATGTCGCATTCGTGTCGGAAATGATCGATCTCTTCTCAGAAACCTACTGCCTCGATAGTCGTCGCATCTACGCATCCGGAAAATCGAATGGCGGTGGCTTCGTCAACGTGCTGGCCTGTGACGCGAACCTCTCAATGCGGATAGCAGCTTTCGCACCCGTCTCAGCCGCCTTCTATGTTCCAGGAAGTATGGGTGCCGATTGCACGGGGTCTATCCCTCAGACCGTGGAATTGCCTTGTACGCCGGGCAGAAACCCCATTCCTATCATCGAGTTTCACGGACTCGCTGATCAGACGATTCCTGTGAGTATCCTAGCTCCAATATCTCCAATCACCAAATATGGCGCATCCCACTACTCTTGATCATACTAGCATAGTACTGACAAAGCATGTCATCAATCTAGTACGCTGGTGGTCCGCGTCGCGGTCTCTGTCTTCCATCTATACAACACTGGGCAGAAGCCTGGGCAGAACGCCAAGGCTTCGGCTCAGAGTATATAAGCTCCTTGCTATATGATGGAAGCGTCACCAAGGTTCGTGCTTATTCTTTTCCTCCTCATCTGATCTACCTAACCCCACACTCTAACTCATCCATACATCAATAGTTTGAGTACGCCCCCAATACCCCGAATCAAGGCATCATCACCCACTACGCCATCGTCGGCTTGGACCACGACTGGCCTAACATTAGCCCTAATGCTGACAATGCGAACGGCACATACCTCGACGCAACTCCACTAATTGTGGATTTTTTTAATGCATATACCTTGTAAGAAATAAGTCATGCGGGGCATGACTTGGTTTGGCGTCAATAGCGTTCAGAAAGTTGTATAATATGTTAGTCGGGGAGTCTGGTTTTTATTAGATCGCTTGGGACAGATAGCTTCACCCGGAAAAACACCGTAGAACGAAGGTCGTCTGCTAATTTTTTTAACAAATCACATGCGAGCTCATTTCGCACACATATAAAAAAGTTGGTAGTACAATAGCATATGATACGCCGCGTTATTCCCATCGCTCAAGCGGTACTCTTTCCACAAGTTAATCAAATGCGCCAACTCCCAAAATTTTATCGCTCCAGAATGTGATACAACTAAATCAGCTTCTCCGAGGAGCCCCCCGCTTCAGCAGCACGGGCGGCTCGGACACTCTTTTTCAACAATTGAAGCCGTTCCTCGGTCACGCGGATAGCGTCTTCCATCTCTCTCTCTTCCATCCTTACCTCAGCCCGTAATTTTCGATCCATATCACGTTGTTCTAGTAGCCTCGGGTCCATTTCATGAAGCCGATCCATTTCAACACGGTCCTCCAACCACGCCCACAACTCTCTCTCTTCCCTTCTCCAAAGCTCCTCATAGTTAGTCCTTCTATCAGGCGAGCCGCGCCAGCTATAATCTGACCGTTCAGTTTGCGTGCCAATCATCCCAAATCGGAACCATGATGCAACAAGAAGCCCCACAATTATTCCACACACGATATTACCCGTCAATAACGGTCGAATAATTCCAACAAGAGCTTCGAGGACCTGCTGTAGTGGCTCAAGAAAATGCAATCTCTGCCGATTTATCGTAGAATGGGATGTACCGTTTGCAGTGTGGCTTGGAGATTTGCTATCTTTACCCTTGCGTCGAGTTTTCTTCGATTTAATAGTAGCTGCGGCTGTACCTCGTCGCGACGAGACGGTAGTTTTGAGCGAAGCAACAATATCTTTAGCATACTGGACTTGTCCGTCGCTCGCACCTTTCTCAATTGGTCCTGAACCGTTAGCTGCGGGCTACAACATTGGACGGATAGCTAGCTAACCTTTTAGCCAGCTCTTCCCAGTCCATTCAACTACAAAGTTCATTTGGAGTCTCGTTTGATTGTTAGCCCCCCACGAGAAACAGTATCTTGTCTTTGTGCTAAATACATTGCCACTCGGTACATCTGGTGTTTGGGTTGAGATCGTAACAGTAATAGATTTTTCAAGATCGTAAAACTCCAATGTTTCGGTACACATACATTTCGTTTGTTTCGGTCCAATGGGTGCATTGAGTGGTTTAATATATGAATATGTTCGAGTACGATTATCGAGTCCAAGTGGTTTTTTAGCGTTCTCGTCTAGCGTGTAATCAAAACACTTCTGCTCTACAATGATAAAATTTCGATACCAGGTCGCCGATGCAGGACCGAAGACGAGACTCCATATTTTACCTAGAGGAGCTGGTATAAGCTCGTCAGCAATAACTCTTGGATAATGATTCTCCTGCTCCGAGCATTCCGTAGGGCAGTGAGTTAGAGGACCAGGAAATTCGATAGCTAGCGAAGTCCCGCACGCATCACCCTCTTTAGTGTTTTCAGGAACCACACGATTAGACGTAGCGCCACCAGATAGTTTTTTTGCATATATGTTTTGAGAGTTAACACTTCCTGCAATGCTTCCCTCTGCATTTGTGAAAATCATGCTATCATCATCATCCTCATCATTGTCGTCGTAAATATTGTCTCCTTCGTTGCTATCGAGTTCCGACCCGCTAGGGCTGCCAGGAGCTGTGTTACCATCATCTTTCTCGGTCCTATCACTAACACCTGTTTCATTTGTGTGAACACCGTTGATAGAACTTCGCAGACTGGGGTGGCTGAGTTTCCATATGCCAATTATCAAATCATATGTGGAATCTCGGCTCGTAAAGCTGGCAAATACGTTCTTAGCATGCGACGTCGAAATCATTAGACCATTCTTAAAAAGAAGGGCCGTGCTACGTTTTTCAACGGAAATAATTTCGTCAAAGCTCATAACGAGGGTAGTTACCCAGCCAAATATATTACTGCTGAAGCAGAGGTGCCCTTCTGAAACGTAAAGTCGACCATGCGCAAGAATTTCTCGTTGGAGTGCGCAGCTATAGTCCTCAATTAAGTAGTCATCATCGGGGACACTTCTAAACAGTTGGTGAAAATCTCTGTTACGTTTCTTACTTGCCACTGCGAAGCCTGTAATTTTTGGAGCATTGGGAATTGTCTGACCAAGGGAGCTATTGGCAGCGACTATGGCTGCGCCAATTGTGGTGCCATTAGTCGTCGCCGAGCCACCCCTCTTTCGGCAGCGACTAATGCCTGACCGAGTGCTATTACTTCTTTGTGGCCCAGACTTCTCTCCAAAAACGCTCCCGTGGGGCGGAGTTTGATCTCCCCGTGTCGCTGGCTCAAATACAGTCTTCGCCCGATTCAACGGTGGAGTCTCGTTCAATACCGTACTTGATGGATCAAAAGTTGGATTAGAGCCGAGCGTATAGCTTCGAGATACAGCAGGTATTATCACGTCAGACATTGGTTCAGGTTTTTCCTGTGGAAAACTAGGAAATTTAGTGTTAGAGATTGTAGTTTCCGCGGCATCCTCTAGAATTCCCAATTGACTTAAACTAAGATCTCCCATTCCTAGTGTTTTGATAGCAGGCTCGTTTTCCTTTACAGGCGTCTCTTCTATCACAGTCTCTACCTTGGGCGGAATGTTATTCATTACATCAGACATTTTGGTCTCTGGTGGGCTACTTCTGCCCTTACTAGTGCTGGAGGTTGATGAATTTCCGATACTGTGACTTAGCGTGTTCGCTGCAGTCTGTGCCGCGGAGAAAACAGTCGAGAAGAATCCACCTTGATTCGGTGTAATAGGGCCGGCCTCAGGGGTTGGGCTCAGGGGAGTTGATATATTCGAAAGCTTACTCGGGACGTTTGTGGTTGATGCCGATCTTGCCCGCCTCAACGATATAGAGCCACTTTGCGCAGGGCTTCCAACAATCGAGTTGGTTATTTTAGACTCTTCGGAACTCTGGTCAACTTCATGAGAAATTCCATCATTGGTATGATTTTCCGTTGTGGGTGTTGGAGGAGTATTGTATATTATAGGACCAGTTGTTCGCGCGGAGGAAGGGCGCTTGATGGCATCTATGTTCGAGGCATCTATCTTTGCTGTCTTGAATGTAGGAAGTGGAGGCACCGGTGGAGGGCCAGTCTCATTGATTGATACTGATGTAGCCTTTGGACTCGTCCCTCGTTTGCTACCCTCCACCGAATACTTATCTTTGAGTGACACCACTGTACTACTGCTTCCAGACTTTCGATCTGAGCTGGAATTATTCGAGATCCGCCGAGATTTCAGTACTCCTCTCAATCTGCCGACCGGTGATGTAGATCTCCGCTGAGATTTTTCGCCTGTAGTTTGGAGGAGTATTTCACCCTGTCCCTGCGCAGCCTCATGGACTTCTACCGTGTGAAACTTTGCTGTTATGGCTGAAGTGCGAGGGTTGGGGTAGCTGGCATGTTGTTCATCCGCCACTTTGCCGGATTTGTAGAAGATGGTGTTGAAGAAGGGAGAACTAAGAGAGTCTTCGTTTTTACAAGCATGGGTAGAGGGGGGTGGGCGTGATTCGCAGGACCTATAATATTGTATGATTAGCAGTATATCAACAGATTAAAGCTCTAAGATATGTATATAGGGAAGTATAAAAAGCGTGATAGCATGAGGGGGTAAGAATGTTCACTTGAACGAATAGTTGAATGGATTTGAGCGGGGATAATAGGGATCCACGACATTACTAGGCGCGGGTTTCGGACCACGCGATCTAGTCCAAGCGCCCATCCATAATGAACCGAGTCCGGCGTGAAACTTAGTAACAATGCGCGTGCACGGTCGAAAGAATATGACAATCAAAGGGTAATGTGTCACAATCTGAATTGATAGACGGAGAGACCGCATACCCTATTCGCCCTTCAAATGATTTGGTATTTCGGCCACTTTTAGCGTCAGCAGAGATTTCGTCGCCAACAAGAAGAAGACCGTGCTGTTGTTCAGCTTGTCTAGTTCTTCGATGACTCGTTCTTAGCCGTCGTGGAATAATCTTCTTGATGCTGCGAGCCTCGCCGTTTCTGACAGATTCGAGTATCAGATTCGAAGGATCCTCTCGTGCCGTGCAATCACAGCCATCATCACTGCTGTAAGCCCTAGTGGCAAACGAACCTCTATTTGTAGGCGACTCTGAGCTTTTATGTTTCCACATCATGTGGAGCTAGCAGTAGCAGATGCTGAGAAGAATGGCCCTGTCTTGGTAAATTTAGCTCTAAGCGAAGGTAAATGGCGAAGTTCACCATTGTTAAGACGTCTCATATGTCTTAGAATGATGTTTTTATTCAGTGCTGCGTTTAGGTGAACGGCATATGTCACCTATTAGTAAATCATTTCCGACTGTGTTCAGAACAATGGCAGTTGGATGGGAAGATAATGAAGGCTGACTTGGTGCGACATGACCATGACAAAATTGCAGAAATGGAAAAGAATGAAAATTTGAAGGAACTAGATATACCTCCCCCAGAAGGTGCGAGACATTATTTCCACAGCTTCAAGATTGCCCAACCTGTTCGCTCAACACGTCTCTATCAACCTTTTGGCACTATCTATACTTTTTCGTGTTGCATGATAGTCAACATTGATAGTATGGATAGGAATTATGAATATTAATTGATACCCCTTCCGTGATCCGATCATTGATTGTCCATAACACGTTATAAAATATTGGACTTTACTCCTTTCACCATCAACAAGTTTGCTAGGGCTTGTTACATTTTATAGTGTGTATCTTCAGTGCTATCTGGTAATTGGTTGTTGATTGAGCGATTGATGCTAAATCATATTCATTTACATACAAGTTTACACTGACTGCGCAAAAATCATTTGCGGGTGCGTTGGCAATTAAACAAAGTACCAAAGCAGCCCCAAAAAACTGACTGTTATGGTGAATAT